CGGTTGTTAACTTAGTTTTCGAATGCTAATCTAAGTTTATCTGTCTGTAATTAAACGTTAACAATAGATTTTGTTGATAAACATAGATTCACGTCTGTAAACTATAATTTACAATCGTGAACTAACGTTAAGAGTTGTTAACCATAGTTTCACAAATCGTGAAACTATATTTATCCGATCGTTAAGTATATTTAAGAGTTGTAAACCATAGTTTACAAATCGTGAAACTGTATTTATCAGATAATCTGATATTTTGGAGGTCCGACTGTTTTCTCTGCTCCTATTCTGTATTGTTTTATGGTCTTTTGAGCTTTAATACTGTTCATTATCTCCTTTTATTTCGGTTCAATTTTACGAAAAACAGTTTTAAAATTCTTCAACATCACATTTTAGTCTTGAATACTTATAACATTCCAGTCAATCAAGAATGTTCCATCCAACAGTACTTACATAGATACATTGCCGGCTCCGGTAAATGATCTACCAAGCGTTCAATTTTACTCCTTACAAAAGTATTAACCGATTTAAAAGGAAACAAGTTGACAAGCAAACAAAAAATACTAGTGGGGGGGGGGGGGGGGGGTAGAGGCCAATTTTTTTCAGAGCCAACTTCTTTCAGTACCAATTTTTTATACTACATTTCCTTATGTCACAAAAAGTTGAGGGGGGGGGGGGGGGAGCAACCAGTCTTTCAATGAACATTTCCTATAGTATAAGTAAGGTTGGGGAAAAAAAGGGGGGGGCAGGCCCGGTTGCTACGTGCCTGCTTCTTATTCAATAGAAATAGAACTTTTAAATTTACAGCTCTTGACACTGTGTATTAACAAAATGATTTTTAAATAATACAAGCTAATTCAGAGAATTTGTGTACCACGCTTAGGGAAAAAGTAAACCATGCGGAGTTCTACTGTTCGGAGGGAAGGGGGAGTCGGATCCCCCTGACTGAATTTGTAGAATTATTGACCGGACACATGTATACTGAAGCAAGTAAAATATGCCAATATGGATATAAAGATTTAATTGTTTATTCCTTATTATGTGTATAGAAGATTCTTTTTTATGTGGAATATTTATCACACTGTAATGATGATTTTATGAGTTTGTGCAAGGCAGACCTCATAAATTTTTCATTTCACATTCTGAATACTATCATTTACTTAAAAAAAAGTATTTCGGAAAAAAAAAGAAAGTGGATCGACCGGGAGTCGAACCCGGCACCTCTCACATCTGAAGCGGGAGACATTTTTTTTTCTCTTTTATTGTAAGCGGGAGACATACCACTAGACCACGGAACTGCTTTCACATGGCACAAATTATATGGAAAGATGAAGTCTCATACATGTATATATTCACGTTCGATATTTTCAAAATTTTACACAATGAATTGTGTCTAATTTAACCTTTATTAAACAGTTCTAATAGATGTAATAAGAATATAAAGTCGATCCGCCGAGAACCTGTTTTATACGTAATAACTCTCCTCATGCCCCTGTGCTAAAAATAGCGACATGTAATACAATAAATACTAATAAAACAAACGGGGTGGGACACTTTGAGAGGGGTGAGAGAGGTTCTAGGGAGTTTTCGTATAAAATAACATTGCAAAAGCTCAAAATCTTCTTGAAATATCGCCAAGAAAGGATAGTGTTACACAAAGACAGAATGTATAAATTTACGACCTTGAACTTTGACCTTTTGACCTCAAAATCAATAGGTGTCTTCCTTAGGCCACAAGAAGTTGTTATGTAAAATTTAATTGCAAAAGCTCAAAGGGTTCTCGAGATATCGGGCGGTAACGAAAGTGTTATAACAGACAGAATTTGCGATTTATGACCTTGACCTTTGACCTTTTGACCTCTAAATCAATTGGGTTTCTCTTTAGTCCATAGGGAGTTGTTATGCAAAATTTCATTACGAAAGCTCAAATAGTTCTCGAGATATCGTGTGGAAACGAAAGCGTTACAGACAGAAAGACGGACATGTCCACAACATGAAGTCCACAACTGTCCGTCCGCGCGATATCTCGAGAACCCTTTAAGCTTTTGCAATGAAATTTTACATAACAACTTCCTGTGGCCTAAAGAAGACCCCTATTGATTTTGAGGTCAAAGGGTCAAAGTTCAAGGTCGTAAATTTATACTTTCTGACTGTGTATAACAATATCCTTTCTCTTTTTCAAGAGGACTTTGAGCTTTTGCAATGTAATTTTACACCAAAACTCCCTAGAACCTCTCTCACCCCTCTCAAAGTGTCCCGCCCCGTTTGTTTTATTAGTATTTATTGTATTACATGTCGCTATTTTTAGCACAGGGGCATGAGAAGAGTTATTACGTATAAAACAGGTTCTCGGCGGATCGACTTTATATTCTTATTACATCTATTAGAACTGTTTAATAAAGGTTAAATTAGACACAATTCATTGTGTAAAATTTTGACAATATCGAACGTGAATATATACATGTATGAGACTTCATCTTTCCATATAATTTGTGCCATGTGAAAGCAGTTCCGTGGTCTAGTGGTATGTCTCCCGCTTACAATAAAAGAGAAAAAAAAATGTCTCCCGCTTCAGATGTGAGAGGTGCCGGGTTCGACTCCCGGTCGATCCACTTTCTTTTTTTTTCCGAAATACTTTTTTCGACTTTATATTCTTATTACATCAATTAGAACCGTTTAATAAAGGTTAAGTTAGACACCATGCATTGTGTAAAATTTTGACAATATCGAACGTGAATATATACATGTAATTGACTTCACTTTTAGCATATAATTTTCGTCAGCGTCAAGCAGTGCCGTGGTAGAGGGTACGTCTCTCGCTTTACATGTGAGAGGTGCGGGGTTCGAATCTGGAACAATCCATTTTCTTTTTTTTTTTTTCAAAATACTTTTTCTCACTAAATGATAGTATTCAGAATGTGAAATGAAAAATTTATGAGGTGTGCCTTGCACAAACTCATAAAATCACCATTACAGTGTGATAAATATTCCACATAAAAAAGAATCTTCTATACACATAATAAAGAATAAGCAATTAAATCTTTATATCCATATTGGCATATTTTATTTGCTTCAGTATACATGTATCCGTTCAATAATTCTACAAATTTAGTCAGGGGGATCAGACATGACCCCCCCCCTCCCCCATAACTGCCCATGGTTTACTTTTTCCCTAAGTGGGGGACACAAATTCTCTGAATTAGCTTGTTTACTTTTTAATCCGACATATACGTATTCGTATTTTGAGTTTTCCATATCAAAATATGGACACTGCCATTATATTCATATTGGAGGCGGGGGATATCATTTAGTGAGCTCAATGCTCACAGTACCCCTAGTTTAAATTTATAATCATGCTGTGTTAAATATCGAGAAGACATATCAATAGTTATTACCAAAATTTTTGATAAAATGTTGTCACTGTCTGAAAGTTGCGTTGAAGGTCATAGCAAGTTTTTTTCTTTTTATGCAGGTTTTATTCTCTATACAGAACACGATTTTATATTTATCTTGTATATGATCAATGTAAATTTATTTTTAAAAAATAGTTGTAATTGACCAATCTAAATTTATTTAAAAAATAGCTGTTCATGTATTCAAATAAGAGACAAATTCCATTCAGTACGACAAACAAGAGGCCCATGGGTCACATCGCTCACCTGAGAAGCTTTGACCATTCCGTTCTTTACCAGATTTCCCCCTTGTAATAGATATTGTGACCCCATCCTACCCCACAGATCATAATTTAGACAATTTGAAATCTACACTACCATATGATGCTTTGATTCCCCATTGTAAAACTTTGATACCCCATTGTGGCCCCGCCCTACCCCTGGGGGTCATGATTAGAGCAATTTAGAATCTACACAACCCCAGGATGCTTCCACATAAGTTTCAGCTTTTCTGGCCAAGTGGTACTTGAGAAGATTTTTAAAGATTTTTCCTATATATTTCTATGTAGAACTTTAATTCCCCATTGTGGCCCCGCCCAACCCTCGGGGGTCATGACTTGAACAATTTAGAATCTACACTACCCCAGGATGCTTCCAAATAAGTTTCAGCTTTTCTGGCCCAGTGGTTCTTGAGCCGAAGATTTTCAAAGATTTTTCCTATATACTTCTATGTAAAATTTTGATTCCCCATTGTGGCCCCGCCCAACCCCCGGGGTCATGATTTGAACAATTTAGAATCTACACTACCCTAGGATGCTTCCACATAAGTTTCAGCTTTTCTGACCCAGTGGTTCTTAAGTAGAAGATTTTCAAAGATTTTTCCTATATATTTCTATGTAAAATTTTGATTCCCCATTGTAGCCCCGCCCAACCCCCGGAGGTCATGATTTGAACAATTTAGATTCTTCACTACCCCGGGATGCTTCCCCATAAGTTTCAGCCTTTGTGGCCCAGTGGTTCTTGAGTAGAAGATTTTAAAAGATTTTTCCTATATATTTCTTTGTAAAACTTTGATTCCCCATTGTGGCCCCGCCCTACCCCCGGGGTCATGACTTGAACAATTTAGAATCTACACTATCACAGAATGCTCCCACATAAGTTTAAGCTTTTCTGGCCCAATGGTTCTTGAGAAGAAGATTTTTTAATTACGCCACCCTATTTTTGTGTTTTCTTTATTATCTCCTCTTGTGAGGGAATTTGGCCCTTCATTTTAACAATTTAAATTTTCCTTTACCCAAGTATGCTTTGTACCAAGTTTGGTAAAAATTGGCCCAGTGGTTCTTGAGAAGAAGTCGAAAATGTGAAAAGTTTACAGACGGACAGACAGACGGACGGACGGACGACGGACAAAATGTGATCAGAAAAGCTCACTTGAGCCTTCGGCTCAGGTGAGCTAAAAAGGACATGACAATCAGTTGTTAAATTCATGTAACATTAGTTCAGAAGGTTGAGTTGAACTGTTCCCTTTAACCCTTTAATTTTAATGAATGAATTACCCAGGTGGTAGGCCTAAATTATCATAATCCAAAATCGAAAGTGAAAATATTTCTTAATTACAAGAAAACGGAAAACGGAATATTTCGCAACATAGCGAAATTCCATCATAGTCTTTTTCAACACGTACAATGAATGGGAGATACGGATTTATTATAGTGATAATCGTCAGTATATTTGTTTTATTCCTATCCAGTGTTGTTTACTGGATCTGGAAAGGTGAATGATAAGTATTTGAATTTTTGTTTAATTAAGATATATCTAATCAACGTTTTAGAAAAAAATTATTTGAAGTGAAACAGCAAAGTAAAGTATCGATTTTTATGCTAATTTGTTTAGTTGCCATGTCTCTAAGAATGTGTACCTAATTTTCGGATCATGCAGTTGTAACCTTTTTCCTTCACTCAATTGTTTTAATTAATTTAAAGATTGCTGCAACAGATTCAAAGATATGCATTATTATTTTATGAATTTCATTACTACATTTTTTTGGTCACTTTGTATAGTGAACAAAAAAAGTTTTACATGTAACAAGTATATCAAGGAATTCAATATAATTTAAGATATATGGGTTTAATCGATTCCGTGAAAAACGCTTTTTTTAATCTTTCTTTCATTTATATCTTAATTGAATGAAAGCACTTTGAATGTACATAACATATATTTTAAGAGGCGAACAATCAAGTAAAATATTGAATTGAATTGACGTTCTATCATAACCGGTTCTTTTGGGAAATAAAATGTGTTATTAATTTGGTGAAATTACCCTTTTATTTGTTAAAAAACTCGTCATTCAATATTAAAAAGAAAGTATTCATGAATTCAACAAAACACCAAGACAAGATCTGTAGGGCCCGGGATATTAGTATTCAAAGTAATGATTCTTGAATATGATCGAACAATGACAATTAATACAAAACAGAGAATGTGGGTATAACAAACGGTATTCATGCCAAAAAGACGATTTCTACTTTAAACCCATTCATAACTTTTAAGTACAATAAACAACAACACACCATTTAGACATAGCAACGACACGTAGCAGCTTTATCATATCATTTCCATATTACATGCAAAATATGAAAATCAATTATTATACGAGGGATGATCAAAAAGTTCGCGAACAAATTAAATATCTACATTAAGTTTCATTGATCATTCTTTTTAACGAAGCCCTCTCTGATTTCAATTCATATCATTCGGCCCATGCGCTAATCACGTGATCCATGCAGTCACGTGACATGCTCTGAAGCAATGTGTTCATAGACACTAACATATTTTTCCGAGTCTAATATATATTACCATGCAAGTTTTTATAACAAGAACAGTCTATTAATCAGAAATGACCCAATCTCGGAAACTGGATGGTTGGATAACGATATCCTTTCCCAGAAAGAACATGGTGACCATCACAAACCGAGTTCTTTGTTTTTGGAACGTCGTTTATCCAATATGGATATACACAGTATTGTTTTAGGAGTCTTCTTCTTATTATATTCAATATTTCAAAAGTTTAGATTAAACGTTATTTTAGGGATTTAATAATAATAATATTGTAAAGATATTCAATCATTTTTCTAGCTCTAACTTCACAATCTTTCTTAACAAATTGCCTAATAAAGGATATATGTCTTCCCCAACTTGCTTTCGCTGGGCTACAAAACAGACGATCTCCCTCCCTTCAATAAACAACCAAACCAATTTATTATTGAACTTCTGGAAAGTCTATTGTCTACATAAACTTTGTACAAATTATTATAAATTACTTCAAAGGAATTTTCAAGTTGTGCGCTTAAATTTACAGCAGTCCAGTTGCTCGAGTAATACTACATAAGACAACCATTTTTCGTCGCGCGTCACCTACATATTGATGATATTCACATTGTGACGTCACAATGATGGAGAAAATCATTACTTTTCATTTGCTATTTATAGAACATGAGCATTGTTCTGATCTGAATCGTGGTTTTGTAAATATAGAGATACTAGTAGTTCGCGAATTTTTTTATCACCCCTCGTATGCATGTAGATCCTAAAAATATTTTTCCTTTGAAAGGATATGATTCGAAAAATTTAATATAAGATCTTTTTTTTGAGATATGATTTCGTTGTATTCGATTTCTTTTATTTAAAATAGTTCTCAAAAAATGAATTTATAATGATAATATTCAATAGACCAAATCGCTGAGAAATTTGGCGGCGAAGATTCGGTTGCATCTAAGATAAAGAACGGGCTCTACAATGTGAAGGTAAGACATTGTATCAAGCTAAAAAAAAAACTACTGTTAAAACATTATTAATGATTGTGGCCCATTGCGCTCACCTGAATGAAGTACATGTAGCAATTTTATTAAATCAGCTATTTGAAATTCCAAGATGTTTCAATCAAAAAAAGCAAAAAGTTAATCGTTTAAGTCAATTCCCAAAGAAAACGGCATTTTTACCAAAGTTTTTGTCTACATAATTCCCTGATAGTAGTGTTGTTTATCTTGATGTAATATGACCTTTGCTATTAAAACTTATTTTTACAAATTGAATTTGAATTTTATTCATTGGAGGCTATGGATATTTTACAATCCCAGATCGGTCATGTTCTTTTAACTTCAGCTCATTCAAAATTTAAAACTACATAAAGGGTCAATTAATATGGCGTGTAAAACGTTGCTAAATTCGATAATGTTGTGATGTATATTCAAAATCTTGTAATGTATATTCAAAATCTTGTGATGTATGTTCTAAATCTTGTGATGTATATTTAAAATCTTGTTATTTTGTATATTTGAAATCTTGTGATGTATATTCGATAATTTTGTGATGTTTGTTCTAAATCTTGTGATGTATATTCTATAATCTTGTGATGTATATTCGATAATCTTGTGATGATAATCTTGTGATGTATATTCAAAATCTTCTGATGTGTGTTCTACAATCTAGTGATGCGTGCAATGATTTTGCATTATGAGTAAAATAACGCAAAAGTATTCTAAGAACGTAAGGATAATTTTCATTGGTTAGAAATAATAAAAGTAGACGGAGCGGCGGTCGTACTAAGCAGAGTACGCTTGTACGATCGAGTACTTTAGTGTACGGTAGTAAATGAATTATTATTTAATGCAATTAATCTGCTTTTTTTATGTTTTTTTTACTCAAGTTTACACAATAAATATATATATTAAATAAAATGTGTATGTTTTCCTTATTTTAAGAGTTATTTCAATTTCTGATTCCAGGTTACGGTTTATCGTTTGATCCCGATTCCGATCGTATTTAACTTGAAATGTTTCATTGTTTATGTGAAAAATATTAAGCATACGTAATGCAATTAATAAAATTTTTGATAAATACAAATTTTAGTTGAAATTAGTAAGTCTAAAACAAAATAGTAATCTTGATCGGGGTGTTAATAATCTTTAATGCATTGAATCCTGGATATTGTTTTATTGTCAAAATATCTGTAGAAAAACAACAAATATTTGAGACAAATATTGCAATGTTATTTTATAATAATGTTTAATGAAGTTGTATATACATAAATAAACAATCCAATTGTATTAAATTACACAATTTTTCAAGCGTACTCTAAACTACTTTATCGAACTCTAGCGTACTCTGTTAAGTAGCACCGCCGCTCCGGCTACTTTCATTATTTCTAAACCAATGAAACTTGTCCTTACTTTTTTAGAAAACTGTTGCGTCACATTATTCATAATGCGTTATCATTGCACGCATCACTAGATTGTAGAACACACATCACAAGATTTTGAATACAAATCACAAGATTACCGAACATACATCACAAGATTATAGAATATTCATCACAAGATTTCGAATATACCCCACAAGATTTCGCATATACATCACAAGATATTGAACATACATCACAAGATTATAGAATATACATCACAATATTTTGAATATACATCACAAGATCGAACATAGTTTATAGAACATTCACAAGATTTCGCACATCACAAGATTATCGAACATACATCACAAGATTTTAAATATACATCACAAGATATATAACAAGATTTTGAATATCATTAGGCCAAGATTTCGCATATACATCACAAGATATTGAACATACATCACGAGATTTTCAATATACATCATAAGATATACATAACAAGACTTTGAATATACATCACAAGATTTTGAATAAACATCACAAGATTTTGAATATACATCACAAGATTTAGAACATACATCACAAGATTTTGAATATACATCACACGATTTGAATATACATCACAAGATTAGCGAATTTAGCAACGTTTCACACGCCATAAATTAACGTTTGGTCTCAAACCCTTTTGCGTCTGTTTGATATTACCAGGCTTTTCAGTCAGACAAAATTACAAGTAATTGCGTATTTCAGGTAAACCATCTCGATGCTTCAATAGTAGAACAACAGCTTAACCAGTTTACGAAATGGGAGGAGGGCTCCGAAGTAACACATGCGAGAAGAATTCCGATGGCGAAATTACAAGATTTCCTCGATCATCTTTTGAAAACTTATGGAGATAGTGGTAAGGAAATTCTCATCCTTAAGTCTCATCATGTCACCTGATCCCACCTCTGATGTTTTGGAGGTCCGTGTTTGCTCTGCTCCTATTTTGTATTGTTTTATGGACTTTGAGATTGAATACTGTTTGTTATCTCCATATCCTTCCTCTTAAGGATATCTGATCCCCAGCCAGGAAGGAAAACTCGTTAAATTATCATTTGATTTAAAAATTCTCAAACTGAAGCTTGAAATAGAAAATCTTAATGCAATATTTTTTTTTCATTTTATGCGAATCAGTAAGATTCAATGTTCTTTGAAGTTCATATTAAAAATTTTCTCATAAAAAGGCTCAGTATTTGTACTCCAAATTTAAAGAAATCAAATTTCCTTTAATCTATGCCGTCAAAAGTCCTTAAAACAATATACAAATAGAGCAGAGGAAGCGTCGACCCCCAAAACATTAAACGAATCAAAGTTTTATAACAGTGTCACAGCATTGGTTCGTTTCTTGCGTCTGAGGGAATTATCTTACAAAAACAAATTTAAAGATAATTCGTACATAAGCATTTTATAAGACCAAGTTCAATCAATAAATTAACAAATCCTAGTGTATTGGAGTGTAATATATAATAGTAACAACACAAACATACAAATAATAGTGAAACTTTTTCAATTACAGGACTCCTGATGTTGTGTGTTTTTTCTTAGATGAGGTGTCAAAAACCAAGGCGCACGTGGACGCTAAACAAAGAAAGAACTTCGAATGGCCTAATTGCAGTGAAACTTTTTCAATTACCTGTTTTTTTTGTATGCATTTACGATTTAATAATAGTATTATTCGAAAGCATTTTCATTATTTGATGGTTGGTTCATTCCAATGACAGTCAAGAAGTCGAATATTAGTTGACATCTATATATGTATTATGAAATGATATAAGTTATGATAAAAATAATTCATAAGTATATTAAACAAGAGGCCCAGGGGCCACAGCGCTCACCTGAGCACATCGGATAGGAAAAAGTACATATCAGATCAGAACTGAAAGTTTACTGAGGTGGGGGCTTGAATTTTAACCCCCCCCCCAGGGGTTCATGATTTGAACAAACTAGAATCTACACTACCTGAGGATGATTCCATATAAATATCACTAATCATGGCTTTGAAGTACTTGAAAAGAAGATTTTAAAAGGTATCCCTATATACCCCTATGTAAAACTTGGGTCGGCCATTTTGGCCCCACCCTAGTCCCGGGGGTCATGATTTAAACAAAATTGAATTTACACTACCTGAGGATGATTCCACATGAGTTTCATCTTTCCTGGCCTAGTGGATCTTGAGAAGAAGATTTTTAAAGATTTTTCTTATATATATTCCTATGTAAAACTTGGGTCGGCCATTTTGGCCCCACCCTAGCCCCGGGGGTCATAATTTGAACACATTTGAATCTACACTACCTGAGGATGATTCCACATGAGTTTCATCTTTCCTGGCCCAGTGGTTCTTGAGAAGAAGATTTTTTTAAAAATGCCATTAATTTTTCTCTAATTCATAATCATCTCCCCTTGGAAAAGAGCGTGGTCTTTCATTTGAAAAAACTTGAATCCCCTTTACCCGAGGATACTTTGTAGCAAGTTTGTTTGAAATTGGCCCAGTGGTTCTTGAAGAAGATGAAAATGTGAAAGGTTTACGACGACGACGACTACGACAACGACAGACAACGGACAAATTTTGATCAGAAAAGCTCACTTGAGCCTTCGGCTCAGATGAGCTAAAAATGGAATTTTTTTTCAAAAGCCTGGATACCTAATAGTATATTTTTTCCTTCCTAAAATGTATTTGTTGATCAATTCTCAGTAGGAAAATGTATAATATGTGTTTTCATTTGTATTTTCTTTGTTAAATGAAATTTTTTCTAATTTTCTTATATGATATGATTAAGTCTTTAAAAAGATAAAAGATTTACCATGCATGGGTAAATACACATTACCTTTACCAATTCAGATACATTTTAATAGGCATTTTCAATCATTCAACGCCTGATTTCAAAACATGAGAACAGAACTTCCTAAAGCACAATATGTTTTGTATTAAATGGACGAATTCAATATCCTTTTACATAACCCAAGATTTTCTTTTGTTCAATTGTACCTGTATACATGTTGATTCAAGAGATTTTACATACGAACTTATGCTAATTTCGAACTGCTATTAAAAAATTTATTTATGATTAATGATAAATTATTGCCATTTATGTTTATAAGGCATCACAGAGGCAGACAGGAATAAATGGAACGGAGTACATTTTGCAGAGGAATGGACGTCCAAAATTATTGAGTGGAAATTTAATGCTGACACTGCAGATTCAACCGGTGTTCAGGGAGCACGATTTGGGATCGTAGGATTCGCGAAATCAGCAGATGGAGAATACGTCGATTGTATGTTAGCAATTTACAAACTGGACTTTCGTTTGGCGCCACAAATAGTAATGAAGGACAACTCCATTCTTTGGGGATTGTACGTCTGGTCAACATACCAAAAGATTGAAATTGATAGAAGCATCAGTCGGGAGGAAATTGCTAAATTCCAGAATTTTTTCCGATATAAAGCACTGAATGAATTTAAAAAGGAAGGGGTCATTGATCGAATTTCTTATACAGATCGACTGGAATACAAACCAAACAAAAACTGAATTATATATATGCAACAGAGAGCGCAAAGGAAAGACATTTTCAGATGCTTTCTTTAATTTTTTTTAGATGATTAGATGTATTTTCTTTTCAGAATTAATCATTCGCTTTAGATATGGATGTACATTTCGCTGACTGCATTTTTGACTCAAATTTAATCGTTTTCTTTACACGCTTTTAATTGAGTTTGTATAATCCAAGGAATAAACAAGAAATATAAAATTTACATGTTTGATCTTATGCACATTCAAATGGTTAATATTAGGAAGGTTGTAATAAACTTTGCTTAAGTATTTGTTCAGACTTGGTAAATGACTGAGGTGCTCAGTTGTGACGGGGCAGTTGACTGCATATGGTGGAGTGGAACTTATGGCAGTTGATTGTGACTAACTGTGTAATGATATTTCATTGTGACGACTGAGACTAACTTTTACTAGAATACAATTACGACAGAAATTATTTCTAGGGTAAAATGTAAAAGATAAGTAATTCTCTATACAATTATGCGTTTATACAACGGTTATCTCAGTGATTACTTCCACAATTGGTCTAATGCAAAGGGAAACATTATTTTCGATATCAATTATGAAATATATGGAGATAATGAACACAATTACTAGAGAGAGAGAGAGAGAGAGAGAGAGAGAGAGAGAGACAGAGAGAGAGAGAGACAGAGAGAGAGAGAAACAGAGAGAGAGAATACTAATTAAATCAAAAGTCCATAAAACAATATAAAATTAATAGAAGCAGAGCAAACACAAACTTCCAAAACATCAGAGGTGGGATTAGGTGCCATGGAGGAGTGAGAATCACTTGCCGACCGATCACAATCATAGTATGCTCCTTGACATGATCGGGAAATAAAGGGAAAATCCCATCGTCAATTATATGATTGTGTAAATAATGGCCTAACAATTAGTATGAAAACGTCAAGTCAGCATTTGACCTAATAATAAATTGTATTTGCTGACAAGGTCATTGCAACGACCATAGAATTTACGAAATGATGACTTTAAACGAGACTGCTGATATTCATGTTTCATCGACTTCTTTGTCAACAATTCACCTCGTTTTAGAAATTGCTCATAGAAAACACTTGCTGTGGCCTTCAACTCGACCTTCAGATATATCGACGACATATTGTCAATTAACAATGGTAAATTCCATTCCTACGTCGATACGATATATCCAGGAGATCTTGAGATAAAAGATACCATAGAGTCTGACAAATCTGTTTCATACTTTGATATTTTACTTGAAAAAGACGTTAATGGTAACCTAACAACCAAGTTAAATGATAAACGTGACGACTTTAACTTTTCTGTCGTCAACTTCCCTTACTTATGCAGCAATATACCTTCATCACCTGCATATGGAGTTTATGTATCTCAGTTAATTCGATACGCAAGAGCATGCTCTACGTATGAACAATTTCTAAAACGAGGTAAATTATTGACAAGCAAGTTGATGAAACAAGAATATCAGCAGTCTCGTTTAAAGTCACCATTTCGTAAGTTCTATGGTCGATACAATTTCTTTGTCAGCAAATACAATTTATCATTGAGTCAAATGGTGACTGACGTTTTTCATACCAATTGTTAGTCCATTATTTATACACTGAATTGACGACGGATTTTTCCGTTTTTTCACGATCATGACAATGAGCACACGGCGGGTGTGACCGGTCAGCAGGGGATGCTCACTCCTCCATGGCACCTGATCCCACTTCTGATGTTTCGGAGGTCCGTGTTTGCTCCGCTCCTATTTTGTATTGTTTTATGGACTTTGATATGGAATACTATTCGTTATCTCCATATCATTCATACGTAGAGCAGGCTCTTGCGTTCGGATAAACTGAAAGAGAAAAAAACGTATGCAGACGATGAAGAGAAAAATCAGATTTTGTGAGCGAAGAAAGGTCAAATTATGCGAAGCAATTTGAAACTTTAAAAAACTTAAGTTTATTTTGTTTCATGCTTTATTTGAATAAAAAATGTTGGAGGGAAAGCGTCAAAAATGTAATTTTTTTTTTTAAGGCACTAATTTCAATGCAAAAATGTCATAATAAATGTACTGTAGCGCCAAAAAAGCATATTGACACCAATTCTTTGATTTGATTTTTAATCTAGCTAAGTGTAAAGAAATTAAAAATATACTTGACAAAAGAGTTTAAGGCTTAAACATATTAGGAACCAACCTCCTTAAAAGATTATTACTCAGTAATTTTAAACTGTTACATTGAAAAAAGAAGTTTTATACAGCTGTACCATTTCATTATTTATCTGGATTTTTTATTTTAGATTATGTACCATTAGGGAGCATGGCAAATGAAATTGAGGATGTTTTGAAAAAAATACAGAAGGATCCGGTAAATATCAGATAAGGAATGAGTTGGTCATTGTTTAAAATGTAAGAGAAGTTTGAGGAAGAAGAAAGTGTGAAACTGACGGACGGACAAGGGTAACAACTTTTAATACACCTGACTTTTCTTTAGAAATTTTGAGTTTATTAATAGATTTAGAGTTGTGTGTGTATGTGCTTGAAAACGGGACGGTATTTTAACAGACCATGAGAGATTTATTAATGAGTTGCCGGGCGTGACCGGTCTGCAGGGTAAATTTATTCCTCAATGGCACAAGATTCCTACTCCGATGTTTTAGAGGTCTGTGTTGTCCTGCTCCTGATTTTTATAATTGTTTCAATAGGCTGAGGCTCAAGTGCTTGCTTACTGTTTCTTATCATCATACTGCACTTTTATCATTTAGTTTTCTACGTATTGAAGCGAAAAATGGACACTTCAATTTGAACCCTCTGTAGTAATCTGTAGACAAAATGGTATAAAAAGAAGGGTCTTTCACTCGGGGTGTTGCTAAAACGCGGAACGGAAAACGGAACGGAAAACGGAACGGAACGGAAAACGGAAAATATTTGTCAAGCAAATAACAAAGATTCGCTATAAATCAGATAAAAGAGCAATATTCTTGTTGTAAAAGTCATTTCTGATAAAAATTTATTGTAAACTATTATATATTTATGAGTCATCCACACATACAAAATGGTACTGAAATTTGACCCCCCACCCCCACCCCCCCCCCCCCACACACACATACACACACACGAAATTGGATTTTCGTGTTCGGGCAAAGAAAATATCCCCTAGCTTTATTGCTTGTCAAATTTGTTGCATGTTGGAAATTTTTTACTAACCCCCACCCCTCTTTAAATTTGTTTCCAATGTCAATGTCAATAAAGACAAAAATAACTAGTTTTGATATTCAGATTATGCACGCAGTGTCGAATTCGCGAATGATGAAAGGGGGAGTGGCAGTTTCTGGTCTGTTTAGGGACCCACAGCCACATTAAAAATTAATTTATTAAACCTTATGTATATTTTGGATACAAAAGGGGGGGGGGGCAGACCTATCACAGCTTATAAGACATTTCCGATGAGCAGGAAAACAAACTCATTTTTACGGGGTCATTCATAAACACCCCCTCCCCCAACATACACACATATGTATCGTAAACAAACAAAAGAACAAAATACGGTATTAGCAATAATTCGCCGCAAATAATACGATATTTTAATCATCTTTGTATCATTGTTTGATGTAATGCATTGTAGTAAGGAAGATGCAAAGTAAATTCTACAGGTACAAAAATGACGTAATTTTTAACTATGACGTCACTGATACGCGCTAAACATCGAATGGTCGCGCAAAATCGTTAAATTATGCTGGAAAATGGGTAATCTTTGCAGAAATTAGACCCTTTCACATGCAACAACCACTTTTCTACTCCGCATATAAGATCATCATTACATATCTTAGTTACACTATTAAAATAGTGTTGGTTGTCACCTGTGATCAATATGAATTTTACAAAAGTTAGCATACGGATATAGATATTCTACCAACGCAATGTTTCTGATTCGATGCTAATGACGCTTTAAGTTAATTTACACGGAATGAGATTTTTTTTTATTTTAAGTTCCATCACTGGAATTAGTAAACTATACAAATACCCCTAAATATAAATAAAATATTTTGAAAACAAAGTATAAATTGCAGTTAAAGATGCCGCTTATGCTGTTTGTACATCGTATGCACTTGCATACTCGTATAGTGTCCGTCGGCTGTACATGTAGCATTGAATAACAGCACAAAAATATCATTCACAAAAATAGCACGATATTTTTAAAATCTAATTATTACAAGAATAACTTTAAAAATCTGTGATACATGTACCTCCAGTATAATTATATTTTCCTTTACGAGTCTTCCTCATTGTGTAAAGTGTTTAATACTAGTCATGATCATAAATAGTGTGACCTCCGAACAATCATGAGAACCATTAAAAATACAATAAAATGCACACACATTGAATAAACTTTTCCGATAAACACTGAATTTGTCAGATCAAGTATTGCCTTATAGCCTTTAATTGTGAAATATAAATATTATATATATACATGTACATGCTGTAAATCTTCGCAGTGTGTAGTTGATAGCAGATCAAAAAATAAAAAAACACAACCAATCCAAGAAAATAATAGATACTAGATAGTATGCACATTAATAGTACGAAATAGCGCATACAAATTCAAATGTTTATTTATTATATTTTTTTGCAAATATATTTCTGCATTGAAGAACATTACTGTGTAGGTTTAGCCCCCCCCCCCCCCACTTTCCACAGACACGTTACGTTACAGTATATGTTTAAAATTGGGAAAGTGGTGCTGTTTGGAAAAACATATTGGTACTGAAGTTCGAACCTATACCCCCCCCCCCTCCCCAAAGAAATAGGATTTTCGTGTTTGGACAATGGACAAAACCTTTTTTTCTTGCTTGTCAGTTTTTTTTTTTTTGGGGGGGGGAGACCTAAATTTTTTTTCTTACACTTAGCCCCCCCCCCTTTAATTTGCTTCCGACGCCGATGTAGAGTCATAATTTACAAGTTAACAGAAATATATATTTAGAAGCCAGTGGTTATTTGGTAAAAAAAAAAAAAAGACTTACAATGATGTGCATGATGGAAAATTTTGAAATTTATCTGACATTGAATATCGACATTCAGCAGCTTCTGATTTGTGATCAAGCTGAGGACTCCCCTATATACCCTTCATCCTTGGATTTTCAGATTGTTTCAAAGATTACATGTAACAGTAGAGAGTCAAACGGATGAGATAGAACCACCGTGATTCTTTTTTACGAAGGAAAGCAGATCGTCTTCGAAAGTTGTCAGCAATGAAAAAAGTGTTTGGACACATTTTGCTGTTTTGTTTTTCCCTATGAAAAAATCTTAGTGTGCTGCAATTAAGCTATAAAATTAGTGATATCCGTAAACAGTACGTCTTTTATGTACACAGATACATGTGAATGCATTTCACACTTAAATCCAGGTAAATCCGTAATTTCCGATTGCATAGACAATCACAATTTAATTTCTTAATTTGTGATCATGAACTTCGTGTAGAAAAACTAGCATCTATTTTTAATATTTGTACTAGCTTTAGTTACCACATATTAATACATGTTTATGTATGATAAAATCCCACCACTTCATATCATTAAATATATATTCATTTTTTACTATAGAAACGGCATGGCGTATATTGGGACATACAAGGAATTACATGTAGAATTAGAAAAGCCAATTTACCACTGCTAAAGAAGAAGCTAACTACTCAATTTTTTCTGTCAAAAAAATTCAACATAGGCACGTAGCAACAGGGGAGGGGGGGATTTTTTCCAAAAGTAAATTTTACTATTGGAATTGTTCTTTGATAGGCCGGTTGCCCCCTCCCCCTCCACTTTTTGTTACAGTACAGTAAATTAAGGGTAAATTACACGTAGTATATATATAGTATTTTAAAAATGATACTAGTACTAAAGAAGTTGGCTTCTACACCACCCCTTCACCCCTGAAACATGACTTTCGAGTTTGGGCAATCCCCCCTTTATTTTTTTTATTTTCATTAATATTTTGTTTTTTGCTTGTCAACTTTTTTCAGGTAAGTTATTTTTTTTCATCTTTGCCCCCCCCCCCCCCCCCATCACTTTCAAAAACGATGCTACGTCACTGCAACACATTTTCGGGAAAAGAAAAGGAAATACCTACTAGTATTTATGGGGGAGGTAGCTGCAAAACTGTAGCTCTCCAAAAAAATATATATTGATAGCCCGTTCTATCAATATATATTTTTTCGGAGAGCTACTGTGACAGTTCTGCAGCTATGGGGGAGGGTGGTGTCATGGGCCAACTTATGAAAGACCCGTGTTTCCCGGGTAAGGGCTTGCAGATTGTTCGTGGTTTTTGTTTTTTTTTTTTTTGGCTCATTTTAATTTATTAAAATTCATTCCTGTGGAAAATGACTAAAATTACTTTTCATGAACCAATACATTTAACACGTTTAGTATATCCTTTACTCATAGGAAATATCTGTCTGTATTGTATTGTAAATTAACCCAAATTATAATAATTAGATTCTTTCTGTTTATTGCGAGAATCATAGGTATATCACGTTCAATTGTCAGAAAAATAAAGACACAAGGAAGATTTTTTAGTTTTAAATAGCTACATTCTCTACCAAGCAAAGAAATTTTGCTAGAAATGAAAAAAAAAAAAACAGAAAGTGTACTAACAACTTAAATATTTTGATCCTAATAAGAATAGGCGAAAACGAAATAAAGACACATATTTGGAATTTGGGATAAATATTTGTCATCGGCTGCTAAAGGAGGTGGGGATTCTGAAAAAAAAATCCACGAGCGATTATACTTATCCGACATTATTGTCAACATGTATTGAATATGTAAACAAAACAATAATAATTTCGGAACAGTGTTTAATATCAATTCTCTATAAAAATCAAAATTTTAAATAGGGTCGTGGACATGACATGTCTCCGATTTAGCTGAATTTCACACCAGTTACTACATTTGTTATATCTTTAATAAATATGATGTTAAAGTCTAACTTTTCAATTTGGTTGCCATGGTAACAAGGATGTTATATTTAGCACCCTCTGATTAAGCAAATTTTGCTCTGTTTTAAATGAAATTAGTGCACATTCAATAAATTAGTGTAAATTCACATGAAAATTATATTCTCTGAGCTCATATTACTTAAATCTCAGAAATAAATTTCATTCAAGATATTTGAATGGATATTAAGCGAATTTTCATCGCAGCATTTAGGCTGTTAGCAAATTGGCAATTTGCCAAATTTGGCTTTTTTAGTCATATTCAATGAAATTTTTCTCCATTTTGACAACCGATATATTTGTAACCATGTATCATTAAATAAACTATACATTCTAAAGTTTTATGAGAATAAAAAAAATTTACGGGTAAATCAAAAACTTTCTAGAAATTATTGCATGAAAATTGGCAATTTGCCAAAATTGAATTTTTTAGTCATATTCAATGAAATTTTTCACCATTTTGACAACTGATATATTTGTAACCATGTATCATTAAATAAACTATATATTCTAAGGTTTTATGAGAATAAAAAAAAAAATTATGGATAAATCAAAAACTTTTTAGAAATTATTGCATGAAAATTGGCAATTTGCCAAAATTGAATTTTTTAGTCATATTCAATGAAATTTTTCACCATTTTGACAACTGATATATTTGTAACCATGTATCATTAAATAAACTATACATTCTAAGGTTTTATGAGAATAAAAAAAAATTATGGGTAAATCAAAAACTTTCTAGAAATTATTGCATGAAAATTGGCAATTTGCCAAAATTGAATTTTTTAAGTCATATTCAATTAAATTTTTCACCATTTTGACAACTGATATATTTGTAACCATGTATCATTAAATAAACTATATATTCTAAGGTTTTATGAGAATAAAAAAAATTTCATGGGTAAATGTACAGCTTTCTAGAAATTATTGCATGACCCCCCCCCCCCCCCATTAATCACAAATAACAGAGAAGATCATCTAAGAACATGTTTTACCAAACTGAACAAATTGTTATGTTATATGAATATACGTCAAGTATTTAAATTTCTTTTTTGATAATTAAATAGAATTTCTGCAATTAACTCAGAGACAGGTAAATTAATATGTTGCCATGGAAACAAATTAGGCTTCTAGTTACTTTATTCTAAATATGAAATAAAACAAGTGAGTTTCCAACAATTCTTACAAATCTTTTGATGGCCTGTAATTGTTTCCAATCCCTTTGATTTATTCACTAAAATATGTTCAAATTAAAAACATTTGTTTATTTTTTTTTTAAATGTATAATTTAAGTAAAAAAACAAACTCATATTTAATAAATGATATTAATTTAAAAGTATCTAATGAAAATATGAAAGTAAGTCAGACAATATAATGTCAAAACAAGTTGGCAAGACCATCTTGATTATAATGTTTGTTTGCCCTCTCCCAACTCAGGGTAAAATTATTAAGTTGGTAGGTAGGTTGAAAAATCGTTTTCCCAGAAAATTTCAAAATAATTATTGATGAGATAAGATGGATAAAAAGAAAAAAACCCATCCTGTCTTGCAATGTAAAAAAAAGTTTTGAATTTTAGTCAGTCTATTGGGGGAAGGCATACGAATTCTTTTTAAATGCCCTTATATGGTAAATATTGTGGAATTAATTCTTATTATCACATTGCTTATCAGCATATTCAGATGATCAGTTATACTATTATGTTCTTTTAATGGGTATAAATATTTTTAACCATTTGACCTTGACCTTAAACACTGACCGACTTTAAAAAAAACTTTAACCTTAACCACAACTTTTGACGTTGGACTAGATTTTCATATTTCAGAGGTGCTTTCCTTGTGACAAGATCTTTCTTGGGATACCACGTGGGAGTCGTGACATAAGCTGCCATGTATGAAGGAATCAGTGTTTCACAATTAATCTTGTTCTCAGTTTTATTAAAATGTATTCATATTCTAATCATACATGACATACTGTGTGAAGCCTGCCAGTATAAAACTATAGATTTGTGAGCCCATGTGGGGGTATATAATAAATCAGTATACCACCTCTCCTGCAGAGTGGGGATATAAAAAGGGAAGAAACTGCTTCTTTTCATAATACTGCCTTTATAGACAAGAAATAAACATGACATTGGAATGTATGCTCCACTTAAACAGTGACATTTTTGAAAATACAAGAAATCAATTTAGAATCAATTTAGAATACACATATTCTCTAAGGAAAGCAGATGCTCTGCTTAAAAAAAATTCTGTTAAAATTTGTTCCCTCATATTCTCTCATTTGATATCAGCTTGGTTTCCTCGAATTCACATTTCTTTATGTCCTTTTGTATAAGTTTGAAAAGTAGCTCAGCCTTGCAATTTGCTGTAGATTTTAGTAATGATCTTTAGAAAACCCTCTCTACATCCATCTTGCACCAGTGACAACTTTTACTGGATCTCTTTTCTTTCTGTTCTTTTTCTTATTTTCTATTTTTCATGTGAAAATTACTTCCTGTCCACTGTGAATTTTTTTTTCGGGGGGGGGGGGGGGGGGGGGGGGGGGGGGGGGGGGGGGGGGGGGGGTGGCTGTGTGTCCTCTGCTCTGGTCATTTCTATCTGTTCACATGAAAATTTAAAAAAAAAAATACCGTTAATTTTGGATCAGTTTGGATAAAAATTCATTAAAAATTATTTTAAAAACTTAAAACTGGAATCTTAAAATTTTGCTATGCATAAAACATACATTTTCAACCTCTAAACATTATTATCTCCCTTTATACATTGTCATGGCAATCATGTCTTAAGTCACCATGAATCCATGTAACTTAATACACAATACATGTACCTGTCTGGTCTCCTTGCTAGAGGATCTGTAATCCTGAGAATCTTCATTAGGAAAATCTTGCAAGGGCTGCAATGATCTGTGAATTTAAATTATTTTTTAATTTGAAAGTTTAGGTTAAAATCCTAAACATCAAATATATATTACATGTACCTGATATTCAAACGTTATCCTGAAAATTTTCTGAATCATGAGGAATGATTGTTAAAGGAGGGGATTTAATGTTGTCATCAAGCATTTTTTTTCAATTTACACAGTTAAAGCTTTTCTGCGGTTTAGACAAATTGCCCGAGATCTAGTCTTAGAGTAGAAATGAATTTGACAACAATTAATTTTTAAAGTGGTAAATGAAATGTTATTATATCATGAATTAATTGTAATATAAACATACATGTTTTATGGATACTACAGAAAAACAGTGATCAGTAAAATAAAATTATGAGACAGAAAGCTGCATCTTAGAAAAGTCAATAAAGAGTGCTTCATGACAATTAACTAATTTTAAATTAGTTAATTGTCATGAAGCACTCTTTATTGACTTTTCTAGGAACTCCAAGTACAAATGAAATGGAGTTGTCACATTCTAACACTCTTGAATAGATTTCTTTACCTACTTAACAATACATTACCTTGCAGAGCAAATAATTTAATTGTATCAAGGTCCCAAAAAAAGATTTCATATAGTATGACAAAGTATATGTACTTAGATCTAGAACACTATTAGCAGCTGGATATCTGTGTGTCTGCATGTACTGAGTTAATTTTCATAATTTTACACTTACACTTTTTCTTATGAATTCTTTCAAATATTCTACGGTCCTGATATTGCTTAAAATTTCAAAAAATCTAACCCACTATTCAGTTATCATTGTCAAAAGTCAAAGGTTTAATATTTCCGTGGTATGATTTCTACAAATCCTGTTTAATGTTAAAATAGAATGGACACAAACATATTATCACTTAGAAAAATAAATTTATACAAACAATTTTCTTCAAATATACTGAATTTTATAGAAAATAAAATACTGGTACCCAAAACGGGCACATACATGTATATTTCACAGTAGTATATGATTCAGTGTCATGTACATGTAACATATATGCAACTGTGCATCCAAGTTTTCATGGTTTTGTTTGTTTTTATTGTCTTATATTTCAATATACAGTCAGCAGTTACCAGGTACATGAGACAACAGAATAGAATTTAAATAAAAAATACTTACACATTGCAATGGGGATTGGTTGGGGATTACCACACCACTTCATGTATCTCGAGATCTCAATTTCAAAGACATCTTGAAGGGAACAGTAGACATTTTGAAGGAAACAGTTAAAATCCTCTCAGGCTTCGTCCCATACCACCCTGATTTCCTCATATTTTCCTTTCTACGAGTAGCTCTACGTGTAATACTCATCATGTCCAGATCAACCCTTCGGCTTTTCTTAAAGATTATCCCTACTTTGTTAACTGTTTTTCATCAAATTCTGAGTCTCTTGAGGTAGAATTTCCCTGGGACAAGATGTTTCAAAACAAGAAGAAAAAAATGCAGATTTTATTGTCTGCCATCTTGTTTACATTTTACACATTTTGTACTCTTCAATGCCGAAGAGCTCCAACAAGGGAAATAACTCCGATAGAGAAAAAGCACATTTAGACCAACTTTATAGTGTATTAAAATGTTTATTTTTCATTTACCCATAAATGTTTTAAATGATATTTGCAAAATAACATTTCTTTAATCTAAATCTCCCTACTAGGATTTTCACATCACTTGTCAAAGTCTTTAAATATTAAGTCTAACAAGGGAGGTAACGAGGACTAATTATTCACTCTTTTGGCATCAGAAAATTAGAAATTGTAAAAACTTTGTAACATACACTATTTTTTACATAGTTTTGATTGTCATGAAGCATATAAAAAAATATGCACATTAACAGCTTTGCCTAGTAAATTTTTTTTTATATTATTGATAAATAGCAATATTCACTATAATTTACACCTTTTAGCCCCGTTTCCATGGCAACCGGGTAAACTACCATGCTTTCTTTCAGATAGTCAATCTTTTCATGCATTGAAGTTTCAGTAAGAAAAAAAATTAGCTGAATCCAAGACATCGCGTGGCCACGTCATTTTGATTTTTATAGAGAATTGATATTAAAACGTTTTAAGCGAATTGAAAGAATGCCTGTTATATTATTCAGTCAGAACTGAGTCCGATTTATAACCCCCCACCCTTATCCCCCTCCAAACAAAACTTTTAATCAAAACTTTTACTGATGATTCATTTTCAGTCTTATTAAATATCATTTTACATGTCTTATTAAAACCCCACAAAATGGTGTAAGGCATAATAAATAATATGAACTCATTAAACACAGAAAGGGGGGTACATTTAAATTTCAAGTATTCCTCTGTCATCAAGCAAGATATAAATGAATATATCACAGAAAACAATCAGTTTTAATGTACCCATGAACTAATTTAAAAAGTTTACTGTGCTGATATTTTTTAAAATCGGGATCGAAATCCCTCGCATTCTTATTTATATGATGTAGTATCTTTATTGGCAAAATTGATCATAGAGGGGGGTCTCTCCTCTACATTATATAATCATAGTATTCTAAACTACTGTTCCAATAATCATGATAATAATTTAAATAATAATTATCTTGACATTCGAGTTTTTTTTTAAATGTTCGTGCACCTTACATACCATATTCTAAAGAACTGATTTTTTTTTTGGTGCCGGGGAAACGTTGATTTCTTTTTTCATCAGGACATTTTTTCACTAGATCTGATGTAAAGAATTTTTCTAAGTTTATTTAAGAGAAATAGCTAAAAAATATTAAACCCGTATAATCAATGCAATAAAAAGAAAGCAAATCTCAAAGAGAAAAGACTGTTTATTTCTTTTTCTCCCCGTTCCTCTGTTTGATTTAATTCTAATCAACTAAAGCGGAGACACCTTCGTGGAGGATTACATTGTAAGCAATAATTATAATGAATATTTTAAAAGAAAAAAATAATGACGTATTAATAAATCAACAACTTAATTTCTTAAATTTATATTTACAGTGTAATATAAACTGTGTCCTAGCCAGTTAAGGTCAGATGACACGTTCCTCAAATTTATGTTTTGTATCTCGTGGTATTATATAAAAATATTCATATCTGTTGTTCTCTTTTAATTTCTACATTGTTTTCAAAATGTTTTTAAATAGAAGTACATCAAAAAGTTGTGATATAGGCCATTCAGAAGATTACCCATAAGGGTTATATAAGAAATATGACCCTGTTGTATCTTTCCAAATGCCTGGTAAGGTACCTTAATTTTTTGTGAGGAAGCTTGTTTTAGTACCTATACTTCAATGACGAATTCTTAGGAAAAATTATATATTTTTGAGGAACGTGTCGTCTGACCTTAATTAGAATTTTCAGTTTAGGCTTACTACACGTTTAACGTATTCATGACGTCGCGTCAAAATTCTTCGTAAAATCTTGACGTTCTGCTATAAAAGGTACTGTATTCAGCATTATTTTTTCTAATGCATACATTTAAGTCAAATATATAAATTATATATCATTTGATTCTAAAAATTCCAAGCATTTTAAAATGTTTTGAACGGAGCATGTCTGACAGCCGGCATTTTTTGGCCAATACCGTACTTTGTTCTTTAAAGATTTTGCATTATATCTACCACATGAAAGTTTTCCAACTTTGTCTATCCAGGAAACGAATCTATTATGAATAAAATTTTAACAACCAGTGTGTATAAGAGATGTTTATTCGAGCTTGCCGTAAAGATTTAATTGCCCTAAAAGCAATCTTAATATATATTTTTTTCATTTTATTTCTCTCTCCATGGTTCAATAAAATATCAATAAAATATCAAATATTTGCTCCCCCCCCCCAATCATAACCTTTTTTCTAAGGAAATGTTCGTTCAAGTTCACATCCTCACACTTTTTGTGAGTATAATTAATGTAGTAAGTTATTGTGAATAAAATAGTACTGAAAGATGTTGGAGTTGGAACTTACCCCCCCCCCCCCCCGAATCAAACAATTGTTTTCTGTTTGTGTTTTTGCTTGTCAAATACTTTTCAAGTTCCTTTACCCCCCCCCCCCTTTTTTTCAAATTTGATTCTAGGTGACTGCTATGTTAGCGATTTTTCGTAGATAAGAGACTGAGCATGACAAAATCAATATGTATTTAATAGTGGGTGATTGAATGTGTACAAGTTATATCGTTTATGATAAAATTTGTGCATTTTAAGTGATTTAATCCAAATTGATATATTCCGTTTTCCGTTCCGTTCCGTTTTCCGTTCCGCGTTTTAGCAACACCCTTTCACTCGGTAGGAAACCTGAAACTGAACAAGATGGTTAGAAACCCTACATAATATTATATCAAATTATTTGTTTGTGGTGTGTCTTTGTTTTAAATTTTATCTAGAGCATGCTTTTGGATGCGACAATGGTAATGCAGATGATTGTCCATTAATATCAGAATACTCCAAAATTATGGAAACGATATTTAGATCTCTTTAATTCGACTGACAAAATACAAAATGCGATGTCTTAAATTATTATTTTTTTAGTGGGGTTCAAGTGATCTAAATGTTGAGATATAATAGAACTCCGTTGCAGTTGGGAAATAATTTAGGACACCATGACAGACATACTGTCCTCTTTATATTTGCACTACATGTCAGCAAACTATTTGTAAATTTAAAGGGGAAATTTTACATGAATTGTGTGACTGATAACTTGATATAAATTTTACTTATCAAATAAAATACTTCAGATGTTCATGAGTATTTCTGAAACATTCATTTTATAGATTTGTTCCATATAGGTACAAGATGATCACATTAAAACTCGTCTCCAAAGTGATGTTCACCTACTTTACTTTTCAAACCAACCCTGTGAGCATTTCGTCAGGAGAAATGTACCGCTTTCTTCCATATACACTCTATTCGAATTCTGGGAAGAACAGATACGATATGCTGGTATATTCATTGTAATATTCAATAACTAAATAACAAATACAAAATACTGTCAAAGACTGCATGTAATCAATAAAAAAAAATTAAGAATGAAGTAAATTTTAACTTCGTCTATTGAATTATTTCTTAGGTATAACTTTACCTTTATCAGCACGACAGAAATGGAATGATATTCTGTATGTGGAATCAAGTACGCAGAGTTCGAAAGGATTCAAATTTGGGAATATACCTTATGGTTGGTTTAATATTGAGACCAGAGAAAGTGTACAGACAGTGTATATAACATCAATACTGACCAGTTCCGACCCTGGCACTGTCAGTGGAACCCTCATTGTCTGTCAGAAAGAGTATATATATGAACCCCTCATTGTAACGGTAACAGAGCCTCGGTCTGCTTTTTGGGGTTTGTTTAATTGGAACGTCATGCTGGAAAGACGGATTCCGCGTAAAATGGATTCTTCATCAGTAAAAATCCTGGAAGAAATCCTCAGAAGCGATGCAGTCAAACATATAGAAGAACTATTACGTTTTGATCAAATGACGCAATTGGTGATTTTATTAGCGTTCCTGTTATTAATGTTTGGTTTGTTTAGTTTGTATGGTATTGTTACGGGGTTCTTTTGATTTCTTACTTCTCGGAAATAAAAGATGTTGTAGTTTTTATAATTTATTGGAAGTCTATCATCAACAAACAATATGGCGTCAGCAAGGCACAGCATCAATTAATATGCATCCTTATTCAGGATGAAAGCTGTAATGTTTCCTTATTCAGGAATATTTGCCTTATTCAGGACTTTCGATCTATTTACTTCCTTATCCAGGAACTATGGTTCTTATTCAGAACCACGCGAGCCAGCAGACTAACAAATTAACAAAAACCATGGTTTATATACAAGTATAATGATCACGTGATTAAATCAAAGCGACATCTATACATTACGACAAAGAACGATAATCATTACATAAAATAAACACATAAATTATTAAACATATTATTTATAAAGTAACAAAAAGCATTATTTTAAAAGTCTCTATTTATGAAGTCCATAACACAATCCACGCCTCCTTGTGATTCGTCCCGAATCGCGAAATTAAATTTTAAAAAATTGGCACTATTTAAAAAGTTAATAAAATGTTCACATTATCGCTGAATGTTCCATAATAATATCAATTGAATTCGGTCCATTCCGTCTCCGAAATTCGCCTCTTCTTCACGACAACTCCATCGCACTGGGTGGATGCATCA